TTTTAGTTGTCTGCTAATGCCCAGAGTATTACCATATATCTTGGTGAGCAAAGTGATTTGCTGTTGTATAAATTCTAAATTTATATCTCCAATTATAATTTCCTAAATTGCTGTCCAGATACCTCAAAGCTATAAGTAGAAATACTATCAAGACTGTATTTTTTATTTCTCATTTGCTTTTGTCCCCTCTTTTCTTCTTTACATTTCATCTCCTCTGTCCTTTCAATTCTTTTCTTTTTCTTCATCTTTTCATTCTTCAATCTATCCATTATCACTGTCTAAACTACTTCCTGCCTCAACTTTCTTCTATCTATAGATCACATGGAAGATCATTTCAACAATATTTTATAAAATACCTTAATGCCATATTTTTTCCTTTCTTACATCTACAAATGTAAATCAAACCACACTCTTAATTTTTAAAAATAGTATCATTATTAAGTTTTTGGTAATATAAAATGACACAATATAACTTTGCATAACAGGGGAGAAATAACACTTAATGAAGAATTAACATTTAATATTTCAGGGCAGAGAAGCTGTACAAAAAGAAAAACACTAGTTCTTATCAGGTTTATTGAAGAATACAAATGATACAATTAAACAGGTAGGGCTTTGATTTTAATTGTCCAATCTTATAATTCACATATTTAAAATTTATTCTATCTTGTGGATGTCAGTTTTTTCCTTTTATTGAGTTTATTGGTACATTTTAGGTATACAGTACAGTAACATTCATTATTGGAATCTTGTACCTTTACATGACAGGTGGTCTTGCTTCTCATTTTGTCCCCTTCTCCCTGCCCTCTATTCACCTCCTCCTCCCCTCCCCACTTCCAAACACTTTATTTCCATTTTTTCATTTTCTCATATTTCCCCCTATTACCTTTCCCCTACCCATCCCACTTTCCCTACACCTTTAGCCCTTTTCTTCCCATTTCACAATGTCAGTTATCTCATTAGGATCTTATGTACTATTACAGTTTATTCACACCAGAGAAACTATTTGGTATTTACACACATGTGTGACTTATTTATTTCACTTAGGAGTATATCCTCAATATGTATTCATTTTCCTGTGAATGAGTCTAATTTCTCATTCTTTAAGGTTGAGTAGTATTCCATTTTATAGAAAAACCACATCTTCTTTATCCATTTTCCAACAGATGGGCAAATGGGCTGTTTCCAAGTTTTAGCTATTACAAACTGTGCCGCTATAAACATAGGTGCACATATATCTCTGTGATATGATTCTTTCAATTCTTTTGGAAAGATACCCAGCAGAGGGATGGCTGGGTCAAATGGAACCTCTAGTCCCAGGCCTTTGAGGTATCTCCATATTGATTTCCACAGTGGTTGCACCAGTCTGCAGTCCCACCAAAAACAGAACTAGAAAAAAGAATACAAAATACATTTGGAACCATAAGAGACCTACAATAGCAAAAAACATCCTAGGCAACAGAGACATGGCAGCGGGTATAACAATTCCCAATCTGAAACTATACTACAAAGCCACTGTGATACAAACAGCATGGTACTGGCAAAGAAACAGACCTGAGGATCAGTGGAACAGACTGGAAGACACAAAATAAGTCCAGGTGTACTCAGCTACCTCATCTTTGACAAAGGAGCTGACCATCCCCACTGGAGGAAAGATAGCCTCTTTAAAAATGGTGTTGGAAAAACTGGATTTCAACCCACCAAAGATTAAAACTAGACCCTTATCTTTCACCATGCGCTAAATTAAAATCCAACTGGATTAAAGATCTAAATATTAAAACAGAAACACTAAACTTGCTGGAAGATAAGTTAGGCAGAACTCTTGAAGACATCGTCATAGGAAAAGACTTTATGAACAAATCCTCAGTAGCATGGGAACTAGCAGAAAAAATTAACAACGGGGATCTCATCTTATTAAAAAGCTTCTGCACTGCAAAAGAAACCATCAACAGAACTGAGAGACAACCTACAATGTGGGAAAAAAATTTTACCAGCTGCTCCTCAGACAAAGGACTATTATCTAGAATATATGAAGGACTCAAAACAATCAGCCCCCCCAAATATAAAGACCCAATTCAAAAATGGGCATCTGAATGAACAGATATTTCTCAGACAAAGAAGTAAAAGCAGCAAGTAAATATATGAAAAAATGTTCCACATCACTGGTCATTCAAGAGATGCAGATGAAAACAACACTGAGATTCCACCTCACACCAGAAAGAATGGCTGCTATCAAGAAATCAACCCATAACAAATGCTGGAAGGGTTATGGGGAGAAAGGAACCCTTCTCCATTACTGGTGGGAGTGCAGACTGATGCAACCACTATGGAAATTAATATGAGATACCTCAAAGAACTAGGATTAGAGGTTCCATTTGACCCATCCATCCCTCTGCTGGGTATCTTTCCAAAAGAATTAGAAGAATCATATCCCAGTGACATATGTGCACCCATGTTTATAGCGGCACAGTGTGCAATAGCTAGAACTTGGAAAGAGCCCATTTGCTCATCAGTTGGAGACTGGATAAAGAAGATGTGTTTTTTTCTATAAAACAGAATACAACTCAGCCATAAAGAATGAGAAATTAGAGTCTATCATAGGAAAATGGATGCATATTGAGGATATACTCAAGTGAAATAAATAAGCTACACATGCATAAATACTGAATAGTTTCTCCCATGTGAAAAACTATAACAGTATATAAGATCCTAATGATATAATTGACAATGTGAAATAGGAAGAAAATGGCTAAAAGGGTGGGGAAAGTGGGAAGGGTAGGGGAAAGGAAATAAGGGAAAAGAAAAAAATATGAAAAAATGGAAATAAAGTGTTTGTAAATGGGGAGGGTAGCAGGGGGTAAAGGGAGGGCAGAGGCAAGAGGAAAAATGAGAACCAAGCCCTGTCATGTAAAGGTACAAGATCCCAATGATGAATGTAACTGTACTGTATACCTAAAATGTACTGAAAATCTCAATGATGAAAAAAAAATAAATAAATCTGTGATGCTCAAAGCAGTGGCCACATCCACATTTGGCTATGTCATTGAGCACCAGAAATGTGGCTAGCATGATCAGACAAAATATTTATTTTATTAACTTACATTTAAGTTTAAATAACCACATACAGCTAGTGGCTACCACATTGAATTGCAGAGAAAAATGTATGGAGTGTTGGCTTAGACAATCTGTACTATCTCCTCTAGGCATTTTATGCTATTCAGTTATACAGGATTCATTCAAACTTATCTACTCTTTCATTTAGAGTGTCCCTGCCTCACTAGAGAAATGATAGTCCAGGGTTCTTTTATACCCATGGGTTAGGCCTAGGACTGAGAGACATGGGTGATCACCACATTTCTACAATCAGGATAATTTTCTTCATTGTCTCCAGGTTTTACAATTGGGACAAAAAGATGAATCATGACTGTCCCAGTCTCTAGGAGTGAGTGTACATGCATATGTATGAATATCTACTTTGTGGGTTTAGTAACATTCTCTGTTCATCCTGCCAAAATGCCATTAGTATTGAATTCAGTATGGAGAAAAGATGAACCTTTCTCTTGATTTTGTAGTAAAATGAATATATCTTGAGAGAGCTTCTTACTCTCCAGCCTTTTTTCTCATCTGTAATATGAGGCAGTTAGAATAGAATTATTTATTAAACCAACCAAACAAAGCAGCGAGCAAGCAACTGTGGACACAGTGATAAATCAATTGTCTTTCCTTTGGGAATTAAACTTTATATAAACTCTGAACAAGATGATTTTTCAAGGCCACTTTCTGCTTTGAATTCACATAAGCAATGACTCCTTTAGCTCATAACTACTATATGAATACTATCTGATTGGATACTCCTTGACCATTTACCTAAGTCTCCCTTTATTAAAGCAAGTTCCCCATCAACTAAATTTTATCCCCCTTCTTTCTCACTATTCTCCATGTTATATTCTCCACCCCAACAAAAAAAAAGTAAGAACTGAGAGAGGCTGGAAAAATGAGAGAGTGAGGAGATGGCAGCAAAGAAGTATCAGACTGGACACTTCATCCTTTCCTGAAAGGACAGAAAAATGTGGGGATAATTATTTAATGAAAATGAGTGAAGAGACAGGTAGGGAGATAAGAAACCTATTGTCAGTTATAGAAAATGTGGTATAAATTGATGTAGCTATACAAGGCAAAGACAGATTTGGGGATGGTTAGAGTACTGCCCTCAGTTCTTACTCATATTCATCGTATTTCCTTCCTTACCTGTTTGATTTGTGATATCAAAGTCCCAGTTTAGACTCCTATCAACACATACCAGGTTGGTATGTCCCTACTCTTCAAAAGCCACACTGTGCATCCCACAGCTCCAATACATCTGAGGTCAGCCAAAGACTAAGACCACTTACCTGGTCCCTAAATTCCTTACAGGATCAGTAACAGAAAACTCAATCATTCTAGACCATCTCAGTAGGACAGGGGGAAAAAACCTTTTAATCCAATGGAGGCTATTTATTTTTGTGAGGATTTTGGAAAACAAAATTTAAACTAAGTCACTTATTTTTCCATGACATAAGGCAACTGAAATGGAGAGATTTTTAGAATGTAGATAGATTCCCCAAGTGTCATAGGGGAGGGGAGGTAGAGAGAAAGGAGGAATGGAGAGGGAGGAGAGGAAATTTATCTTGCTTAAATTCCACATAATGCCAATTTTGTTAGCATATACTGGTAGGATTCTCTCCCCCTGCACTGCCCCCTCTACTTACAAATAGTCTAACCTCCCTGGGTCATAAAAACCTAACATGAACAGAAAATAGTCCTCCCTGTTTCCCATCTGAGAGCAGCTGTATGACTTCCTGAGAATTCTATTGCTGAACCTGGGGAATAAAAGTTCATTTGTACACACAACCTGCAAGTCTCCAGTTTCAGTTCTTCCTCCCTTTCCGTTCGTTCCCTCCCCCCACTTTGTACTAGAGAAGCCAAACTCAGGCGTGCTTTAAATAGTTTGAGGACTACTCTGAAAGAGGAAGAAGAATCTGTATGCATTGGCTAGCCAATGTCTATGCCCTGCTTTCTTGCAAATAGCAACAACTCATCTTTGCAAAACTTTAAAAAATAAAATTTAAAAAGTTTGCCTAAATAGCAAACACAGAATTGAGTGCACTTTTAGGACCCTGGGACATATCAAGATTTACACTGCAGCTCACCAAGGAGGGTTAACTGTTTGAGACTGGTATACTGGATTTGTTGAAGATTTGGAGCTTACTTGTGAGAGCACATGCAAAAGGACCCTAAACTGTAATCCTTGAAGGCACCAACCAGGTAAGGATATTTTGTATTTTAGTACTATTACCAAAAAATTGCACTGTATACAATAAAATTCAGTTTAACAAACTCCCCAGAGTTGGAGGATAATGTATCTGACTTTCCAGCTTTAAATTAAGCCATAATATGAATTCTTTCTGCTTTATTTCTTGGCCAGAGATTTAATCAGTCTGTTAATGAGTATTGCTCGTTCCTTCTACTTGGGGATCAATGTGGCAAAATACAGAGGAGACACACCCCAAGACTCCAGCAATTTTGCAATTAGGGCAGAAATGTAGGGTGTATTTTAAAATCCTGTTTTAAGGACATACTGGAGTTTCTCTAATTAATGGCAAGTTTCTTCCAATGTGGAAAGAAAATATATGATAACCGCTGAAGGTAAACCAAAAAGTGAAGAGTGACTTAGCATTTTCAGAGTGTCTTTCACACTCAGTATACAACTTGAACCTCTAAGCATTCTATGATTTAGACAAAGTAAGTGCTATTCCTTCTCTGGAAAAAAGAAAAAGGAAAATCAAAAAGGTTAAGACATTTTCTTGAAACACATCACCCAACTAGAAATTGGCAATCTCTGACTAGAGACTTCAAAAAACAAAGCTCTTTTAATTATAAATGAATTTAAGAAAATTGTATGATTTGTTTTGCAACTTTGACATATCTGATATAGAGCAAGTTAACACAAAGCCAGTTTGTGGCCAGCAGCATTTTTTCTACTTAGCATCAGGAAGCTATTTTTAAGGGTAAACAAATTGGCTGGTGAGGTGCACTTCTTTGAATTCAATGTTTCTGTCTTCTAATATTCTGAAATTGTTTGAAATCCAGAAAGATGACCCACCATGTACTTAGCATGTTATTACTCTAAAAGAAAATATAACTAACCTGAAATTGTTTGTATATTATTTTAATAAAATAATATTTATATTTTAAAATGTATTATAAAATGTAGTTGTGTGGTATTTTAAATATATTGATGAAATTTGTTTATAGTAAATAAACAACCACAAATATATTTACATGGATTTTCTTGTTTTTTTACATTCATTTTCTCAAACACTGGTCCTCAGTTTCCCTTAATATCAGCCATACTAGCTAATCAGTTCCTACAAATAAAATGTTTGCCTGAGACCCAGTTAGCCCAAACAGAATTATAGGTTAAGAAAAGTCTACATATTGAGTTGAGGCTGAATCTAATATGTCAGTCAGTGTCTTCCTAGTCCAGAGTCATCAATTGTCACTTTCTATTATTTTCTCCCTCATAACCCTAATCAAAATTTTAATGAATTCATGAGCTATTTATTTAAGATAAAAGCAAGACTCTTCTATGGCAAAGAAAATTATAAATTTGTATTTGCACAATCATTGGTTGGTAATAAGGGATTCTAAGGGGAAGGTACTAATTCTTAAAATACATAGATAATTTTATGGATTTGATACTATGAATGGTAACTATCATAATTGCCTAATTAACCTAACTTTGCATAGAATTCTATTTTGATCCATTTAATTAATTCTCATGTTCCTACTGAAATATCTAGTATGTGTTGTAATCCTTGTAAATAAATATTAATCACTCTCAATAGAATACATGACACAAAGGTAAGGCATAGTTCCTGCCTTTGGGGAATATACAGTATTGGCAAAACTAAAAGACCTAGAGAGCACAAAAATATGGGACCATAAACCAATGTCATTTTTTAAGGGCAAAGAAGTTAAGAGAACAAAGACCAGATAAATGGAGAAGGTTTCAAAGAGGAGTCAAAATAGGATAGATCTAAAAGAATATCTAGGATTTAGAACTGTGCTAAGCAAATGTGCCAAAAACATAAGATGTGGCTAAAATAGTTTGCTTGAATTCAAAAATACAGAAATTATGTCAGAAATAAACTGCGTAAAGAGTGAGCTTAACATCTGCAGGGTACACCAATGAGCCTGACTTGGCTAGCATAAAGGCATTGGATTGAGGAGTAACAGAAAGTAAATTTGAATGAAAATCTAAGGGCAAATTTTATTAGACACTGAATTTCAGGTACTTTCTAAAATGGGAAACTATCAGCAAATTATTTTTTTTTTTTTTTTGAGTTTATTGGTACATTTAGGGATACAGTACAGTTACATTCATTGTTGGGATCATGTACCTTTACATGGCAAGTCTTGATTCTCATTTTTTTCCCCT